CACACACACACACACACACACACACACACACACACACACACACACACACACACAGTCTTTTCCACTCAGATAATCGGAAACACATTTGTCCTGAAGAAACACATAAAGAAGCTCTTCCCTCCGTCACTTCACCCTCTACACGTTCAGATCTGGACYCTCTGGGTTCTGTCCACRCTCAGCAGAAAGTGAAAACATCACTATTGGATCTGAAATCCTCCGGAACAAAAAGCTCAGTGTTTTCAGCTGATGGAGGCAGACTTGACCTTGATTGTTYTCGACTTTGTAGTCTGAAGAGTTTTCTGATTTTCAAAAGTCTTAAAATAAATATAAAGCTTGACAAACAAGAAACTGAACGTCTGCAGCTCTACTACTGTARACACTTGATCTGATCTGAAGTAAAACCATCTAAAACTCATTTATTTTATTTTTTTTTACATAACACACTCAGTCCATGTCTTCATCCTGCTCTCTCAGTAGGACCTCAACAGCATCAAAGGTTTGTCAAACAGTAGTTCTGACCTTGTTGTGTCTGGTCTGTTAAACTCTGATTATCTGGGGGTGGGGGGTGGAGGGGGTTGGAGTGGAGGAATTTCTATTTATGCTTGTCTGTGGGTGAAGGACAACCAGCGTGTGTGTAAGAGAAAATGCAGGTTACTGAATATGTTAAACACTTTAGAAGTCCTTTCAGCATCTTGAGAGAAAGAATCAGCAACACAACCAGCATTAAACCTAAGTAAAACCAGAATTCAGAGACTGGCTGCAGGACTTTAAACATRATGTGCAGTCAAGAGACAAAGAAAGGAAAATATAATAGATGTCGAGTGTGTCAGCTGGAACACCTTAAAGCAAAGGAATGCACTGAAACGTGGCTCCTTACCAGCTCGATAAACAAAGTTGGCCTCAGCCTCAGAGGAAGAYGGCGACAGCAGCTCGTCATCGAACTCGTTGGAGCTGAAGGAGCCGGAGTGGTTCCTCCTGCGAGCGTCCATGACGGCGTTGGCCACCATGACGTGCCGCAGTGAGTCGTTCAGGTAGCGGTGCAGCAGGCTGCTCTTGTACTTGGGTGGAGACACGTAGTCCTCGGAGAACGAGGCGGCTTCGGCAGCAGAACGCAGCCCCATTGGACCCATACCTATGGTCATACCCATCATGGAGGAGCCCTCCTTCTTGATGACGCTCTGGTACATGGGTTTGTTGAGCCCCTCAGGACCYCCTTGTGTCCTCTGAGGATTTTCTCCATCTGTAACAACAAGGTATAAGTATTTAAYCAATGTACCYGTGTTATAGTACTCTAGACCACTTTTTGATGGTCTTGGTTGAGTCCYCATTTATACTCAGTCTTGTCTAAGTCTCAGACATTGACYACTCTGGATTTTATTTRWAGACCAGTCAAGACRYCAACTGTGGAAATATCACTAAATTGCCAGAATACTGTCCAATTTATTTGTTACCGTCCTTGCTTTTATTTGATGTAAAATGTACTGTTTCAAATCCAAGGGTGACTCATTGTTAATTACACATTTTTATTACCACTTTCACCCAAATCCCCCCCACCCCCATTTCCCCACTCCATTTACCTTATGTACAACACAGCAGTGGTTGTCTGGAAGCTGGAGATGTCTGCAAAARCATCAGTGATATAATTTGACTACATAAATCATAAAGAATACTTTGTAAAATAACATCCAGGAGAAAATATACAGTGACGTGTACATTCTGCAGTGCTTTACTTTCAGAGACAGAGGTGGGGACTATGTTAAACTTTTATACATACAGTATACTGTATGTTTTAGGACAATAGTTTTCTTTTTCTTTTATTTCTGGTCTTGATCTCGACTTGTTCTCGCCCTCCTTCAGTCTTGGTCTCAACTTGGTACTGTCCCTAATAGTCTTGGTCTTTTCTTGGACTTGATGCACACTGGTCTTGGTTTTGTCTTCGGTTAGGTGGTCTACAACCCTACAGTGTACATTAGATGAACTGCAGGAAAGTCAAAGCAAAGAGTAGCAC